ACCATCTGATTCTCGGAACATACCCCAAAGAAGTGAAAACAGGGACTGAGATACTATACACCAATATTCACAGCAGCATTATTCACAATAGCCAAAGAGGTTGAAAGATCCCAAGTGTCCATCAAGAGACTGACTGGATAAACAAAATTTGATCTGTCATACAATGGAATGTTATTCGGTCTTAAAAAGGAATGAAACTGTGATAAATGGTAAAACATGAACCTTAAAAACGTTATATTAAGTGAAATAAGTCAAATGCAAAAGGCTACATATTTATGATGCCACTTCTATGAGGTATCTAGGATAGGCAAATTCATAGAGACAGAAAGTAGAACGGAGTTACGAGGGGCTAGAAGGAGGGGAAATGGAGAGTTATTATTTAATGAGTATGAATTATATAGTTAAAAATGGTCAAACTGGTAAATTTTATGTAACGTTTATCACAACTTAAAAAATCTAATTAAAAAAGTGGTTTTTTTTCCACCCCAGAACTACAAGGAATCATACATACCCACCAAATATTCTGTGAAAGATAATACTTGTTACGGACTAAACAGCAATGGACTTACTGGCAATAAATATAGAATTTCAGTGGAGTCATAGTATACACACTGAATTTATGCATATTCAATGATCTGTGTTCAAAAAACACATACAGAGGGTAGGACCCCTCCCCCTGAAAAGATGTCCATGTCTGAATTCCTGGAACCTGTGAATTTATTATGTTACACAGCAAGGGTAAATTAAGTTGGAGATGAAATTAAGGTTGCTATTTAGCAGACCATGAGATGGGGAGATCCTGGATAATCTGAGTGGGCCCAATGTAATCACAAAGGTCCTTATAAATGAAAGAGAGAAGTGTCAGAGAGAGAGAGATATCTGAAGATACTATGCTGCCGGCTTTGAAGATGGAAGGGGGCTATGACCCAAGGAATGCAAGACGCCTCTAGAGGCTGGAAAAGTCAAGAAAATTAGAGCCTTCAGAAAGGAATGCAGCCCTGCAGACACCTTGATTTTACCCCAGTGAGATGCATTTTGGATTTCTAATTTCCAGAACTATATGAATAAATGTGTGTTTTAAGCCACCAACTTTGTGGTAATTTGTTACAGACACCACAGGAAACGAATAGAAAAAGAAACAACTGAGTAATTCATCAATGAATCACACCTGCTCAATCTTATCCTTGGCATCCACTCTCCTAAGGAAATGTAGGCTAGAGCCAAAGCAAAGAGAAGCCAGAAATTGGGTTCTTGGTTTCTGAGCTTTGTAGTACAGATGTCTTGGTGATTTAAGGTCGGCAAGTATAATTTTGATTATATATACTTTTCTCCTTAAAAATGAACTTTCAATTATGTCTCTAAATCAGGCATTGACAAGCATTTTCTTTTCTTTAGGACCAGATGGCAAATATTTAGACTTTGTGGTCCAAGAGGCCAAAATGAGGATATTATATAGGCACTTATATAACAAAAGATAAAACAAATTACCAAATAGTTATCAATGGAATTCGAACAATTGATATTATACTTAAATGATTATTATTATTTTTGTAATGCAGGTGTATGAATGAGAATAGTAGGATTCTTTTCTGGGGAGGTAACATTTCACTTAATTTGAGTTCAAGGTTAGTGTTCTCCAGCACCAGAATTAATGGCATATGTTTATCTGTTAGTGTGGCTCTGTAATGAGATTTTATGCATTTCATCTTGAAAATGTTTCATATAGGTAGTACTGCCAAATACTGATATCAATCCATGAGCATTATGATTTTAATTGTGTATATGCATCCCTTAGAAGGCATTTACAGAATTCAATAGGTTTACGGACCACAGTGTACAGATGACTGATTTATATCATACTGTTAGTGAAGAATAACACATACTATAAATTTGTGAAATATTACAAATACAACAATAGTATGAAACTAAAATTCCATATCATTAAAACAAAACAGAGTGAGGTGAAGATAGGAGTGAATCTAGGTAGGGGTCAAAAAGTTTTTCTGTAAGAGACCAGAAATGTTTTAGGCTTTGTGGTCCATATAAGCTTTCTGTCACATATATATATATATTGAAACCCTTTCAAAATGTAAAAACAGTTCTTGGCTTGTGAATGGTACAAAACACTGGCCATGGGCTGGATCTGACCCATGAATTGTAGTATGCCAACCCCTGGCCTAGAGTATAGGGAAGTAAAAGATGGTAAAGGACTTACTGTGTTCAGGAAAAAAATTCAAAGATACTATTTCATACCATTCTCCAATAAAAGAAACTAGGGAACCTTTGAGGAATGGCTAATTTCAGGGGTGAGGCAGGAAAAATGTTAAGATACATAACATGCTGTGGTACCAGAAAATAAAAAAGTACTAAATGAAAGCATACTGAGAGAGCACAGGAGCCAACCTGAAGGAGTTCCCAATGGTCAAAGCTTGAACAATTGAGCAATAAACTAACAATGACAGTATTGGGCTATAACCCAGACTACAATATCCATGATCCCATATTGATAGAAACAAATCACTGAATAAATAAATGAATGGGAGAGGGAGTAGGGGCAGCTCTTCCTTACTGAAGAATACCAATTAGTAAATGGAGTTTTAATGAGGGACATAGAAAATTTGCACTAGGCAATACTATTGTTACAGACAAGATCCCCCCAAGGATGTTAAAATCAGTAGGCAAAATGTATAGTCAAAGTATCTCCCCCCAAGATAATTACCAATTACAGATGGAAAAATAGTAACTTTACAAGAGAAAAACATGAGATACCCTACTTCAACTAAGTGATCAAGGTTAACAACACCATTAATAAGCCATCTTAACATCAAGTAACCCCTGATATAGTGCACAGAAGTTGATCATATCACAGAGACACACATAACATCAGTTCTGTTGTATTCCTGCCAAAGATGCATGAGAAAATATCACACACACACAAGGTGAGAGACATTCTCCAAAACAGTACTCATCGAAAGTATTAAGGCCATGAAAGACTGAAGAATTGTCACTGATTGGAGGACGCTAAAGAGACACAATAACTAAATGAAATGTGGGATCCGAGACTGGATCCTGGGACAGAAAGATATTAGAGAAAAACCTGATAAAATTCTATTAACATCTGTAGTTAACAGTATTACATAAAGTTAATTTCCTGGTTTTGGTAACTGTACTATGGTTAAGTAAAATGTTTCCATTACTGGAAGCTGAGTGAAGGGTATATGGGAATTCTCTGTAATAATTTTGCAAGTTTTCTATAAGCCTGAAATGATTTCAAAATAGAAAAAATTTAAAAAAAACTTTATGACAAAAAAAAAAATTCTATTTCATTCTGGAGGTAGGTAGATAAGTTTAAGCATAGTTTTAAAAGTCAAATTAAAGACTATTCTATTACAAACAGGAAGTACAATTTCAAAATCACTTGAGGGTAGAACGAGTGGTAATAAAATGTGAGCAAAACAGGAATAGCTGGAAATAAGAATGAGGAACAGAGAATATAAAATAAAATGGCAGGAATAAGGACACATTATCACAATAAATAATGAACTGAATTCCCTTATTAAAGTCAAAGAATCTCAGAATGATTCAAAAAGAAAACTATAACAGAATCCTGATTACCAAGGACACACTTAAAATAAAGTGGCAATAATTTAAAAAAAAGATAAGCAAAGACGTCAATTTTTAAGTCAACAAAAAGAGGGTATTTGATATTATTATCAGAAAAAATAAAATTTAAGGTTAAAAACACTAAGTGGAAAAATAAAGGATGGACTGTACAGATAAAACTACAAATTGCAATGAGGATCTATATTTCGTCTTCGCAAAACTATAAAATGTAGTAGCAAAACATATAATACATCTCTCAGAATTTGATAGCAGTTACAGAGAAAGTTAAAAGACATGCAGATTCTAAATTATGTAATCAAAAAGTTTGTAGTTAAATAAAGAGGCGAGTGCCTTATCCAAAGAATACTAGTTTTAAATATATGTGGAGCATTTTCCAAAGCTGGAACAATCTGACTTATTGACAATATTGGAAGAGAAAAGGCAGTGGATTGATTTCTTCTTTGGGATGAGATAAAATTCCTGCCAAAATAGAATTCCATACTCAGTAAAACTATCCTATGAGAAAGAATGAAGAATATGGAATGAAGACATTTTCATGTGGTCAAAAACTAAGAGAATTTGTCAGCAGTTTTACACAAAAAGAAATTTCAAGGGTATTCTTCAGACAGAGAAAAAATGATCTCAGATGAAAATAAATAATAACAATAGCAGATTAGTCAGAAGTTGGGCAGCTGACAAGCATAAAAAGGTTCTGACATTATCTAGCAAGTGCCAGTTAATAATACTTGCTAACATTTATTTAGTGGTCACTATTGCCTGACATTGTTCTGGGCATTTTCACATTATTACTAATGCATACAAAAGCCACAATAACTACATGAGGCAGGCACTATTTTTATCTCATTTGCAGGAGAAAACTGAAGCACAGACAATTTAAATAATTTACCTAAACTCACAGATCTAGTAAGCAGCCAGAAACTGAACTCAGGCAGTCTGACTCTAGTCTGTCCTCAGCCACCACACATCCTTATCTCTCACAAGTTAAGAGAATGAATGAAATTACTGAATTAGGTAGAGTGAGAAGCTGTTTTTTAAGGAATGCAGAGACTTTCAGAAAAAAAAAAAGGATACAAAGTACAGGTAAAAAGGCTGCCACTAGGGAAGATGGGGGCACATTCCTTTTTGAAATAGGAAGAAAATATGATAGAAGAACGAACAGAGAGGACTTAATGGGGGTAAGGGCAAGGTTCCCTTGGGACCTGCTGCTGACAAGGTCTTTGTTCTTCATGTCTTCACATCTTGGGCTTTTCTTCCTGTTTTTGGTAGAGCTCTGAGGGGACTTTCCAGATAAAAACTTGAGTTATTGTTATCAGTTGATTCACCCACTGGGCTATTTATTCCCAATGACCTCCCTCGTTGGATCAACCCTTGCTCACCTGAGCCCCATGGTCCTGTTATGTCATTTGCAATCATCCAGGGTTCTTTCCCTTGTTCCAATAAGGAGATGACATCAGGCTTAGAAATGGAGAGTCCTGTTTATAGGAAAAGAAATAGGGAATGATTATGCTGTTCCAAAATTCAAACTTTGTCTCTTGGTCACCAAGGAAGAGATACAATTACATTAAGGAAGATAGGAAGGTTGTCCAAAGGATGGGAAGATGGAGGTGCCAATGGAACTACACATTTACATTTCCGCAAAGCACAAAACAGAGCTTGGGAACAGAGTAGAAATTCAGACAAAAACTTTTAAGTCCCCCTAGATATTCACCATGAAGAAACCAGAAATTCCAGAAGGCTAGTCCCGAATTATTTGGAGTAAATAACAATAGTAGCTATTGTCCATCTGTCCTCTCTTTCCTCCCTAATCTACTCCTTGCTGTTCCTGGTCCTCCTCTGTGCCCGGACCGCTTAACCACAAGGACTGTATTATACTGGCCCTACCGTTTTTCACTGGGTTTAGCAGATGGAAAGCATCAGCAGGCAGGAGGAGACAGAGTTCAGGGTTTCTTATCCCTCACTCTCCTTTGACCCAGGAGTTCTGGAAGGAGCTATAGTTGCTGCCAGCCAGGCCCTTCTCCATGACTCTAGCTCTCACAATCTTCCACTGGCAGTGTTTCCTCCCTTTACCCCTTCTGGCTGGAGGTGGTAACAGCCTCCCACGGTTTTGTTCCTGGGAGCCTTGTTGCCCATCTGGCCCTGTATTATGCAATATCCTTACCTAGTGAGACCAAGTTACCAAAGTTCTCCAAAGTCACATCCTTGTACAAGTCCCTCTGGGTAGGTTCCAGGCACTTCCATTCTTCCTGAGAGAACTCTACGGCCACATCCCTGAATGTCACCAATCCCTGAAATGATAAACCCACGAATTACTAGTAAATAAAAGGACTTTTTAATTTTTTTCATTTATTATAAAAACAGTATAATGACCCCCATGAATCCATCACTCTGCTTCAACAATTAACAAGACTTTGCAAATCTTGTTTCATCTCTTTCCTTTTATTTTCTACCCCTGGTGTATTCTGTGGCATATCTCACATACTGAACAAAATAGTATGTCACCCACAAATGCTTTAGTATCTAACAAATCAGAATGTTTTTAAAGTATAACTAGAATGTCATTATCACATTAGTAACATTAACAATAATGCTCCTAGTAACTAGATCAAGTTTCAAATTGCCCCAATTTTCTCAATAGTGATTTTTTACAGTTGGATTTATTCAAATCAGGATTCAAACAAGATACACACATTATGTTTGTTTGATAGGTTTCCTAAAGTCTCTCAAATCTCTAACAGTCCTCACAGACCCTTTGAAAATTTTCTTGCTATTTATTTATTAAAGAAACATTTGAATCAGTAGAATTTCCTACATTTTGGATTTGTCCAATTGCATCTTCATACTGTAGTTAAACATGTCATTCTACTTCCATATTTTCTTTGAAAAGGGAGTTAGATCTGGAGTCCTGATTGACATATTTTTGGCGGGGGGAGGCATAAATATATCAGAGATGGTACTGTGTACTTCCTGTACTATCCCATGAGGAAGCACATAATGACTGATTGTCCCATTTATAATGAGGTTAAAATTGATTAGTAAGTACATTTTTAACAACCTAATCCATCTAGGAAAATGTTTTTAAGATGGAAATGAAGGGTGTTGTAGGAAGGAGGTGATAAAGCAAGCAAGCTAGGGCTGAACACCTATGTTATAAAGGAAGTATAAGAACCAAATCTATATGACTAGAGGCCTTCAGGCTTTTCTGTGGCTACAGATAAGAAAGACCTTCATACAGCAGGACTCTTCTATTTTCCACAAGGTCTAGGAATGAGCAAAATCTAGTTAAGTGGGTTCTTATAAATAAATGAAATAGCATATACAAAACACACAGCAAACATGGGCCTAGCAAGTAATAGTCTTCCTTTTTACCATTCTTTCCCTTGAGATAATAAAGAATCCAAAAAGTTGTATAAATCTCTTACCTTAAAATAAAGAATTTACACAAGTTTTAAATCTATCCTGAAGACTCAGGGCATAATTAGTTTGTGGTAAAACCTAGGTTATACCTTCCCCTTCAGGATGTACTTGGGATTATGCAGAGGGTGGTTTAGCTGACACAATGTTGGGGGACGTTGGGCTGAGGGGTGGGCTTGCGCTACTGATATTAGTGCTGGCATCAGGAATGTTAAGTGTCCTGAATTATCTGGGCTATGTATCCATGATGGTCTCAGAAAAAAGAACTATACTGCTGAAAATGACAACAGTGTCCCCACTGCTCCTGTTTGTTACATACATGAGCATATTTTTTGTTATGCTAAATTTTATAATAAACACAGGAATTTTTATTTGCTGCATAATACTGCGCATTATGTCCTATAAGATATAATCTTTCTATTATTTTGGGGCATTTAGCTTAAACAAGATTTGTAAAATCTTCACAGTTTATTATAAACTTGATAATATCTATTATCCTTCATTGTCCATTTTTTCTTGTTGGTGAAATAAGAAAGCTGATGGAGGGTGTACCTCAGTCAAATAAATGTGCCCACAATCAACACATATTGTTCAACTTCAAAATGGACCATTTTATAGTTACTCGTCTCTCATAAATTCCCTTGCAAGACTAAAGAACTTTTTAATTTAAAAAAATTTTTCAATTACAGTTGACATTCAGTATTATTGTATATTAGTTTCAGGTGTACAGCACAGTGGTTAGACATTCATATAATTCACAAAGATTCTCCTGACTGGTCTAGTACCCATCTGGCACTATATTCCCTATGCTGTACTTTACACCCCCATGACTAATTTGTAACTACTCATTTGTACTTCTTAATCCCATTTCCTTTTTTGCCCAGAACCTCAACCCTCCTTCCATCTGGCAATCATCAGTTTGCTCTCTGTATCGATGAGTTTCAATTGTTTGTTCATTTATTTTGTTCTTTAGATTCCACATATAAGTGAGAGCATACGGTATTTGTCTTTCTCTGTCTGACTTATTTCTCTTAGCATAATACCCACTAGGTCTATCTATGTTGTGGCATCAAAGAACTTTTGATAGTGTGAAATGTTTTAAGATTTTTCAAAAGGAGGAGGGGTGACAAAAAATAAAATTAAAAAAAAAAACCATCTAGGTTAATGGAAAAGATCCAAGTTATCTTTGGCCTCATTCAACTATGGTTCTGATAAGGGAGGCTCTCAAGAGAATATATTTTTGTTTCACTGGTACTCTGGTAAAAGCCCTATGTACATATGTGAACACTGTTGAAGAGAGGGCCACTAAGGGACGTGGAGCACCATCACTCATTCCCTGGAATGGAGGAACTGGGACCAGGTTACTGAATGGGGCTCAGTGAAACTGAGAAGTTTCAGGATAAGAACACAAACGTTCATATCATGTGAGGGAAGACAGGTGTTATTTCAAGGAGAGAGAAAATTTCAACTTACCTGGGCCATGGCTTTTAGAACTACCTGACCTGCTCAGATTTCTCTAGGTTCTTCTCTTGGACAAATACAGAGTCCTGAAAAAGCAGAGTAGAGGGGGAAGAGACAAATTTCTCATAAACTGAGCTTGCCTCACACTCCTATATAAATGAGCTGAAAACGATTGTCCTTCCAATGTCCACGTTTTGCTTCCCTTGCCCTCCCCTTGTCCCACCACACAACACTAATTCTAAGAACTACAGAGTTAACAAAGCCTAGCCCCTTCTTAAATCCCAGGGAAAACAAAAGATGGATTCAAGGTAGATGTGCTCTAGCAGAGACACAGAATCCATGACCTCAGCAAAAGAAGTTCGGCCCGGACAGTCCCTTATCTTGCTGCTAATCTATATCCTAGATGGGGCTTAGATAGCTCCCACCTGTTCCAAAGAGATCTTCCTTTGCAGCTGCAGCAAGAAAGATCATAACTCAGATGCATCCACTTTATCCTCTAAGGATGAGGACAGTGCTTACAGGCTAGGAGCACAGGATACCTGGCAGGCCAAACCTTTTGAAAAAGACATTCTTAAAACAAAGTCTTCCAGTTTCTCTGGGCTCAACAAGCATAAACTTCTGGGTAGCTCCCTGGCTCTACTTTCTCCTTCTAAGTACAAAAGGAGGCCATACCACCTATATCAGAGGCTTTGTCAAAGCCTCCAGCCCCAGCTAAACTCACCAGACAGGAGCAAGAAAACCACAGTAACACAAGAATCTTACAAGCATACCTGCACATTCAGAATAGTGACCTGAGTGGGAACTCAATTTGCAGCAGCCTCTTCGCCCAGCACTACTTTTCCATTTAAACCCTCCCTCTTGCTTTCCTGCAGAACATTGCTTCCTCACTGGCTGCCAGTTGCTGAGGCTAGAGTTCTGTGGAGAATAGCCTGTACCTCAAGAGAAAGAGGGGTTTTAAGGAGGGTAGTAAGGCTGGTTTTAATTAGAGGTGCAAGAAGCTTTCCATGTGGGGGTGTTAGAAGGAAGACTAATTTAATCAATGGAGTGGTGTCAAGGAAAATTTCCTAAAATTATAGAACATGACTTGGGGCCTAAAAATCAGAGAATTTCAATTGACAGAAAAAGGGACAGAAGAGCATTCTGAGCAGAGTGAAGCGCAGTGGTAAACCAGTGGACCAAAAATATATGGTGTGTTTGCAGAAAATCATTTGAAATGACTTTTAGTTTCAGGAAAGGCCTAGACCAGTGCAGTCCAACAAACTTTCTATGATAATACAAGTCTGTCCTGTCAATAATGTAGCCATTAGGGAGTTCCGGTCAGAATGGTGAAGTAGGTAAACACTATGCATGCCTCCTCTCAAGACCACATCAAAATTACAACTACAGAACAACCATCATTGAGAATCACCTGAGTCTAGCTGAATGGAAGTCCTCCAACTAAGGCTATACAGAAAAAGCCACACTAAATGGTAGGAGGGGTGGAGATGGGGAATAGGCTGGTACTACACTTGTGTGTGGTGGTTAAAAATCAAGAGAGCTATCTTGGTTGCAGAGGTACCCCCTGAGGAGCAAGGGGTCCCAGCCCCACACTAGGTTCTCCATTCTGGGGTTCTAGTACTGGAAAGAGAAATCTCTATAACTTCTGGCTATGAAAACCAGTGAAGATTATGGCTATGTAAGACGGAGGGAGTGAATGGAGTCCCAGGCGATCTCCTTAAAGGGCCTGCGCAGGGACTTACTTGCTGATGGAGTCTTCTCACTCTGGACTCGAACGCTGGGGCAGCTGCTTGAAAGCTGCCAGAGACAAACAGGGAGGAACTGAATTGTCTGGCTTCAAGGTAAGGGCTGGAGGGGCAGCGTTCTCCCAAACATAAGTGCTGGCAGAAGCCACCGTTCCTTTGTTGAGCCCTCCCCTCACCCAGCATGCAGAAGCAGGCAGCTGCCATATCTGAGTCTCATCAACCCTGCTAGCACTGTTCGCCCCACCCTGGTGATTCCTTGAGACCCTGCCCCACCCAACTTGTGAGCACACCACTTACAGTGACTTTTCCATACAAATGGCTTGTCTTGGCTCATGCAGCAGACTTTCCTAAAATTTCTCAAAGATTCGCAAACCCCCAATAAGAATCATCTGGCCTTGGTGTGACACGTACCTCTTGCTAAGCAGCCCCAAGCCTAGTACTAGAAGCCGCCAGGCTTAATTGGTGATTTAACTTCTCCCAGGCACCTCCAAGCCCAACATAAGTAGCAACCATCTGCAAATCATTTTGTAGCTCATACCAAGTGGCCCCAGGCAAGGCATAGGCATCAGCTGAACTTGGCCTGCCACAGAGCCCCTCTCAAGACGCTCCAGAACCAACACACCTGGTGGTCAGTTTCAGACAACACCAGAGCATCACCTAATCACCTCCATAAAAGACACACCCGAAGGGTTGACTCAGCAGGCACCAGAGCCCTGCTAAAGCAAATCCTGCTCTTTGCACAATAGCTCCTCTACTGTAGTCACTGGCCAGTCCTCACAACCAATCACCTTGAGGGCGAATCCTTCCCACTGATTTGCAAACAGCAACCAAGGCAGAACGATAACAGGAAGGCACACACAACCCACACAAGAAACACACTTGGAACAACACCAGCTCAGGTGACCAAGGAGAATTCAACACTGGGTCCCACAGGACACCTACATAAGGCCACTCTACTAAGATGAAGAGACACAGCAGCTCTACCTAATACATAGAAACAAACATAGAGAGGCAGCCAAAATGGGGAGATGAAGAAACATGCCCCAAATGAAAGAACAAAGTTCCAGAAAAAGAACTAAACAAAATGGAGACAAGCAATCTACCTGATGCAGAGTTCAAAACACTGGTTATAGTGATGCTCAATGATCTCTTGAAAACTTCAACAGGAGGTAGTAAACATAAAAATGGAGGTAGAAAATATAAAAAAGAACCAGTTGGAAATGAAAAATGCAATAGCTGAAATAAAAAATACATTAGAGGGAATCAATAGTACATGAGATGAAGCAGAGAACTGAATTAGTAATTTGGAAGATAAGGTAGCAAAAAATACCAATCAGAACAGCAACAAAAGAATCCAAAAAAATGTGGACATTTTAAGGGGCCTCTGGTACATCAAGTGTACCAACATTTGCATCAGAAGGGTACCAGAAGGAGAAGAGAGAGGGCAAAGAATTCAAAACCTATTTGAAGAAATAAACATGGAAAACTATCCTAACCTGGGGAAGGAAGTAGACATACAAGTCCAGGGAGGACAGAGAGTCTCCAACAAGATGAATCCCATGAGGCTCATACCAAGACACATCATAATTAAAATGTCAAAGGTTAGACAAAGAGAGAATCTTAAAAGCAGCATAAGAAAAAGTTACCCGTGAGGAAGCTCCCATAAGACTGTCAGTTGATTTCTTAACAGAAACTTTACAGGCCAGAAGGGATTGGCACAAAATATTCAAAGTGATGAAAAGCAAGGACCTACAACCAAGATTACTCTACCCAGCGTGGCTATCATCTAGAATGAAAGGACAGATAAAGAACTTCCCAAACAAGAAAAAGCTAAAGGAGTTTATCACCACCAAACAAGTATTATAAGAAATGTTAAAGAGACTTCTTTACAAGGTAGGAAAAATAAAAATAAAAAATACGAATAATAAAATGGCAGTAACTACATATTTAGCCACAATTTGTTTCAATGTAAGTGGATTAAATGTTCCAATCTAAAGACAGGGTGGCTGAATGGATAAGAAAACAAAACCCTTACATATGCTGCCTATAAGAAACTCACTTCAGACTGAAAGACACACACAGACTGAAAGTAAAGGGATGGAAAAAGATAGTTCATGAAATTGGAAATGGAAAAAAAAAAAAAGCTGAGGTAGCCATATTTATATCAGACAAAATAGACTTTTGAACAAAGGCTATAACAAGAGACAAAGAAGGACCCAGTAATCCCACTTCTGGGTATTTACCCTAAGAAACCCAAAATATTACTTTGAAGAGACATGTGCATCCATATGTTCACGGCAGCATTATCTACAATAGTCAAGATTTGGAGACAACCTGGGTGTCTATGAATAGACAAGTGGATAAAGAAGAGGTGGTACGTAGATACAATGCAATATTACTCAGCCGTAAAAAAAAGAATGAAATCTTGCCATCAGCAACAATGTGGATGGACCTGAAGAATATTGTGCTGGGTGGACTAAGTCAGAGAAAGACAAATATCTTATGATTAACACTTATATGTGGAATCTAGAGAAGAGAATAAATGAACAAACAAAACAGAAACAATCTCATAGATCAGAGAGTATTTTGATGGTTGCCTGATCAGGGCAGGGTTGGGGGTATGAGTGAAGGAAGGGAGGGGATAAGAGTTACAAATCGATAGTTACAAAATAGTCATGGGGATGTACAGTATAGCATGGGGAATATAGTCAGTAGAATTGTAATAAGTATGTATAGTGTCAAATGGATACTGGATTTATCGGGGTGATCAATGTGTAAGTTACATAAATGTCTAATCACTGTGTTGTATATAAACTATTATAATATTGTATGTCAACTATAATTGAAAAAAATAAAAATATAAAAAAATTAGTAGGTAGAAGTAGAATGAGAAACAAGGTATACAGACAAGTGTTTCTCCATAAGACACATTAATTATAATGGAAAAGTAGTGGAACACTACTGTAACCAAGTGATTAAAGTTAACACCACTAATAAGAAGACAAGTTGACTTCCTGGATCTCTTGATATGATGTACTGAGAACACATCACTTTTGCGGTATTCTTGCCTCAAATCCATTATCTGAATTTAATCATGGGGATGCATCAGACAACCTCAAATCAAGAAACATTCTACATTGCAGAATTTACGAAATAAATGGCCGGTCCCCTTCAAAAGTGTCAAGGTCATGAAAGACAAAGAAAGACTGACAATCTGTGCCAGATCAGGAAGACTGAGGAGGCTCCCTAACTGCAACATATGATAGTGGATTAGATCCTTGCCCAGAAAAAGGACACTAAGGGACCAATATTGATAAAATTTGAATAAGATTTGTAGACTAGTTATTAATAGTGTATCAATGTTAATATGCTGGTTTTGATCATGTACTACAATTAAGATGTTAACAAATAGAGAAGTTGAATTAAGAGTATATAAGAATTCTATTTTTGCAACAGTTTTATGTCTAAATCTAATTCAAAATGAAAAGTTAAAAAAAATTTTAAATGAACATGAGATGTACAGAGAGCAGGGAAGATATGGGCTTTTCAGTTCACCTCTAAGACACCCAGTAATTTACTCTATTGGTACATACTGAAGACCAGGTCAGGTTGGTGGGGAGGGTGGAGAGTGGTGATGGTCTCTGTTAGGCAAGAAGTTTCAGAAGGAAAGAAAAGCACTACTTAGAAAATAATAGTTTTATGGAAAGAACCTGATGCACCTTGAACTTGACTTGTGGATGTTCAATAGTGATTATTTCCTTCTCTCAATCTCTCCAGTGGAGAAAATTCAAGAAAAAGAAATTATGAGGGACCAAGACATTTTTGAATGGTCATCTCCCAACTTGTCCACACAGAAGAGGGAGGTCAGAGAAGACTGGACATTATGCCCAATCCCAGTGTTACAGATTAAGGCTGAGGTTATCACTGCCTCCGGCTCCTTCCCAGGTTCTGACAGTGATTGGAGCACTGGAGTCACAGGCACCTCACACTCACACACTTGGTGCTGCACAAATGGTCAGTGTCACACAAACACAACCACACATCAACTCTTGAGACACAGGACACAACCACACAATCACAGACACCTCCACGCCCTTATACGTAATCATAATCTCATACCTAAGATAGAGTCAGACAATCTCAACACTGTGACACACAAAGTGGCTCCTTTAGTCACAGACTCCCTACATCAACACCCACAAATGTCCCACACAGTCACAATCACATACCCACTTAACGGAGACACACAATCACTGGCACTCTACTCCAGCCCACTCAATGTCAACTATTCATAACTGAGCATTTACTCTGGAGACACAGACTGTCACACTCACACAAGCAAAGCCATCCCACACCTGCACACCCCAAAAAACACAACAGGAGTACACAGTGTCACTACAGTCATAGACACATGACAATTGCACATGGTACCACATATGGCTATAACATCATGCAACCCAAAACCATACATCACACAGATATCCGCACCCATCACACATTTACAACTACTTTGGCACCACCCAAAACAAGGAGTATGGTCACACATACACAACAGGGACACAAGCACTATTACCCCCACGGTCACGAGGACCCCACACTACAACACAGTATCACACATCGTTACACAAACACAACTAGACATACACCCTGGAGACAGGCGATCACAACCGCACACACTCAAGCACCCAATCACACCTGGTCACACCACAAAGCCACAAGGACTCATTCAGAACTTGGACCTTCAGCACGCTACCGCTTGCACGAACAGACCCGAAGCTCTAGACACGCCCCGTCCCCGCCCCGGACTCCCAGACCCCTCACCTTCTGCCTCCCCTTGGTCGCGTCCGGGTCCCAGCGGAGCTAACGATCTCGCCAGGACGTCGAGACGTAAGGTTGGGCCGCTGTGAACTCTGGGAAACGTAGTCCATAACCTGACCAGCCAGACAAAATGGCATCTTCGTACTTCAAAGTCTGAACTTGGCACATTTGACACTGCCCGGGAGGCTTCAAAGAGGGAATCTCCGCCACAAACCTCCCACCAGGCTTGAGCTAATTTTCCTCTAAGGTTGGACTGCTCACCTGGAGAGGCCCATAATCACAGGAAGAGGCAGCTAAGTTCCCGTAGGCGAGACAGAGTGTCGACCGACAAAGCCTTAAGGGAAATGTAGTCCCAGGCCGGAAAAGCGGTGCTGCTGTTGATTGAAGGCAATCAGATACCAGCCTGGGCTTGGCCATGGTGACGGTGCGTGCTGCGTCGCAGGGGCTTGTGGGAGTTCTCAATAGCCCTCGGAGTGCGCAGGCGCAGCGCACCGAGTGGACATTTTGGTCTTTGTCCGTGGGTCAGTCCGGCCCCTGGGTCCACGTGGCGCGAAAGTAGGAGGTGGGATGTGGGCGTCTTGGGCCGGTCGGGTCCGGGAGGTTGAGGGGGAGGGTTCCGGGTTAAAAGGAGTGCGGCACGCGGGAGGGGAGTGGGTTTAAGAGCTTTTGGCCTACGTGCGGGGTGGGGCTGGGGGCCTCTGAGGAGGGTTCGAGCGTGTGTGACCCTGAGTTTGACCGCGTTTGACCGGATATTTGAGGTTATTGAGTGGAGAAACTGGGTGCAGGATTGTGTATGGTGCATTTGAGAGGTAGCTATACGAGACCAGCATTGAAGTAATAACATTTGAGCCGCACTTTTCTTGTCGAAAGTGCTGATGCTAACGGTGCCATCTTCCTGGAGCATCTGTTTTACTTGAAGATTTGAAGAGGGGCAGAAAGCTAAGTGGTAAATAGTTTAAAGATGGAATTTTATATAAAAACGTATTTTTAAAAACTGGGGTAGAATGTATATTACCATGATTTCATTTTTCTTTAAACAACCCAGAATTTTTCAAAGGAACTTTTTGTTTGAGTCAGCCTGCTTCATCCAGTCGCAAATCCCCAGATCTTTTAGATAATTAAATAGGGCTGCTGTTAAATCCTAGACTAAATATCAGCGTTATACTTTGAGAAGCAGTGTCCATATAGTGCAGAAAGCCCAGAATTAGGGAGTTAGGGGTTTTTGGTCATAGGTTAGGCACAATTATATTCGTTCTTTGAACAAAGCTTAGTTGCTGGACTGTTTATCCATCAGTCTGGACTACGTTCTAGGTGTCCTAATTCCTAAATGAATCGAGGTGTTCTCAGATTGTACGGATTTTGTGAAGTAATGAAGAAAATTCTCTTTGCAAAGATGCTTTTTCTAAGGAATTCACCCACAGTCATCCTTCACATAATTTTATATAATAAGTTAGTTATTGGGTACCAAATTAATATGTACAAATCAGTAGCCTTCAAATAGACAAACAATAGTTAGAAGACAGACAAAAACCACTATTTATAAGAGCAATAAAATATAATATTGAGGAAAAAATTAAGAAATAGGAAGAACTATTAGTAATTTTAATACTACTGAGAGACATAACATGAGAATAGATATACCAAGTAGTAGGAAGATGGTCATAAAGAAGTGTGTGCAAACCTAAGTAAATTTATTAATTTAATGAGATCTTAAAGTATATAGTTTTTTTTTATTTTCTTTTGCAACTAGATAAGCTGATTCCACACTTCATGTGGAAAAATAGACAAACAAGAAGAGCCAGTAAAACTGAAAAAGAAAAATAGTTGCGGTGTGGGTAGGTGGGAAGCCCAAGGGTAACATGTTTAAAATATAAATCCTCACAAATTAGTTTAGTGTTAGTATTAGCATGAAACTGGCCTAAGAAGGGCAATTTGGCAATATCTATAATAACTACAAAAGTATTTTCTTTTTGACCCATCTATTTCCATTTGGAAATTAATCCTACAAATGTACCTGCATTTGCAGGAAATGATAACAATCACAAGGTTGCTCTTTGAATTTTGTTCATATTAAAAGGTTAAAGTATGTATTCAAAAATTAAAGGTTTTTTGTTTTTTGTTTTTTGTTTTTAAGGAGGAAATAGTCCATGGAGCCAGACTGCTTCTGTTAACTCATTCCTCTGTCACTTTGTAACTAAGTGACCTTAGGCAGGTATTAAACCTTGTGCTTCAGTTTCTCATCTAGTAATGTAGAAAAAATAATAGTATTTGATTCACAGGTTGATTGTGCAGATCGTGGAGTTCTAAGTTCTAAGGAATAGTGCCTCGTATGTAGTAAGTACTGGGTAAATGTTAAATAGTGATGTTATTACTAATTGCAAAGTAACACTTCATTAGAACAAGTACAGGCATTTGTACTGTTCCTGGTGGAAATTTCTGAAAGATTCACATGTATAGATGTTCTCATTTATATTTTAAAACATTTTTTAGGGAGGACATTTCTTTTTATAACTAGAGTGAGGAGATTAGCTTTCTGCGTTTAAGTTACGTTGATCTTAGAAACTCATCACCACTGCCGTCATTAAGTTTGTTCTTTGTTTTCTATGGTAGTTACTTTTCATGGTTCCAATTTCAGAACCTCTGATATTTTTTCAAAAACCCCAATTGTGACCCTTTTTTTGGCCAGAATATGTAGGAGGTGATCTTCAAATTGCATAATATCAGGAGAGACATACTATATGATTGGTCTACCATTAATGATTATATTTTTCCCCTTCTTGTGACCAACTTGTAATGTGTATGGTTTTAGTTTGGTATCATAAAAATGTCCATTCCCCTTCAGTCATTTAATAGATGGTTTAGCATCAATAAATAATTCTTGGCTGAATCAATAATTTCTTCAGGTGTTGCAAAGTGATGATTTTTTAGTTTCTTCATTCCTCTTACATTTATTTGATTACTACCTCAAATCATGTCAAAATTTTCCTGGCTTTTTCTTCTGTAAGCATCATTTTAAAGTTGTGTTCTAATAATAGCAGCTAGTTTACTTTGTGACACTTACACTATCACAGTTTTAGCTCAGGGACGCTCCTTCATGCTGCCTCCTGTCTCATTTTGACATGCCAGCATTTAACTTTTGAGAGCTTGCTTGCACTCTAGGCCCACCTTGTACCTTCCCTCCCAGACTTGGAAATGGCCATGTCTCCTTTTGTTGGAGAATCATGTTAGTGACCAAGATCTGGATGCTGGATATTTTCATTGCTGCAGGGGTAACATTATTTCAAGGCCATTTCAGTGACATAGAAAATCTATTTTTAAAAACCATAAGTTCATATTAGTATTTCTAATTCAATATAAATACTGCAGTATAATAATTAGCTCCTAACTGTATTTCATAGTATACATTTTGAAACCAGTTAATATAAGTACTTATTTTCTTTGCTTTGTCCTACAATGTAAAGAAAATGGTTTCAGAATAACAATACTGATACCAACTCATTTCCTATTTGCCCCTAAAATACTCACCAGAGGCTCTGAGATAACTTGTGGATTACAACCCTAACCTTACCCCAAAGATTGCCATGAAGTATCTCATTTCTATTATTATTTCATATTGCTCTAGTATATCGATAGTCTTTGGAAACAAATGACATCCTTCTATTTACAGCATTCTGTTTTTAGTAGTGGTATTTCCATTTACAAAATATAGTAATTCTCAATTGCTGAAAATGTCAAATCCTAGAAATCAGCATTTCTGCATGACGTTAAAGCTGGCAGGAAGCTGCACTTTTTTCTCTAAATGGGAGGGGTTAATAGTAACCATACACACGCTGTATCATGTGAAAAATTTCTTTGTAGCTATTTTTGTCCATAGAAAGCATACCACTCAAGATGTGTAATCAGAGTTCTCTGTTCTTAAGTCATTTGAAATACTTTCTTTGAGGAATTACGTTACCAAGTTAATGTACAGTTGGGTTCGTTTCAGTTTGTCTTCAAGTTCAAGGACTGCTTTTAAAAAAAATGAATTTGATTATTTAGAAAAGTAAGTAATCCAATTCTGATTAACCAAAAAATGCATTTCAGAGACATCTCATCTCATTCTACTCCGTTCCCCATCACATTCTTTGTCTCAAGTATATTTTCTTGTTTGTTTCTTGTTTATCAAGGGGATTTTTTTTGTTTGTTGGGCCACTAATATATGTTTATTCTTCCCTCCTATCTCCTACCCTCCTTACATAAATTCCTTCCTTTCTTCACTTTAACAATATGTCCTGGAGATCTCCTTTCTTAATCATCTTTTTTTTAACTGCTGAATATGTAAGATGCTATAGTGTGCATGTACTGTAGATTGAACTGTTGGATGTTCTGTTGTTGGACATTTGGATTGTTTCCAATCTTAATTGGAATAATTTTTATAGAGTTTTATTTATCATATTTATTATTTTTTTCATATTTATATTTTTAATCTATTTAGAGTTTATCCTGGTATAGGATATTAGGTGTGTATCCAGGTTAATCTTTTTTTATTAGCTATCCAGTTCTTTGAACAGCATTTATTAAACTGTCTTAGCTTTACTATTTGAAGATTCCATTTTGATCGTATAATAAATTCTCATATGTATTAGGTCTGTTTCCGAACTTTATACTGTTTTCTATCTTCTAGTCTATATTCGTGTACCAATATTTATCTCTTTATTATTGAGGCTTTATAATTTTTTTCATTATCATAGCTAGTCTTTTATCATTTGGCTTTTACAGTTTTCTAGCTATTTTTGCGTATTTGTTTCTCTGTGTAAACTTTGGAATCAACTAGTCTAGTTCTGGGAAAAGAAAACCTCATTTTTATTGGTATTTTATTAAACTTATAAAATAACAGGGGAAAAGGACATTAGATCTTTATGATGTTAAATATTCCTATCTATGTACATGATTACTCCTACCCATGTACAACTTCCTTTTGGGCCCTCAGGAGTGTTTTCAAATTTACTTCATATAGGTTTTAGGCACTTTTTACTAAGTTTACTTCTAGATACTTGATATTGTGAATGGAGTCGTGTTATATATGAAGCTTGTTGATGTCTATAAATTAGTTTGTTTCCCTGCTTAACTTACTGAGCAATTGTTTATAATTAAATTATAATTAGGCAGTGAGCATCCTATCTTTATTTGGAATTTAACAGGAATGTCTCCAATGTTTTCACATTAAATAAGATGCTGGCTTTTGTGGTCGGATATAGATTATGATTACCTGTATAGATATAGATTACTCATGCTGCCTGGGTCTCTGGAGATGTGAGTAGAAACAAAAAGTTTAAGGCTGAGGCCACTGCTGTGCCTCAGATGCAACAACCAGGAAAGATCACATTAACCACGGAAACAAAAAGGTCTCCAAATTCTGATTCTGCAGTCTTTAAACAAAAAAAATCAAACAACAAAAATAAGATAACCAGTAAGATGTCCATTCCTATTCTGTTTTTTCTTTTCCCTCCTTTTTCTTTACTCAGTTCTTCTCTTTATCTTTTGTGTTCTTTTTGTAGCTTTGCTTGTTTCTTAAAATTTTGTGTCTTTTAAAAATCTCATTTTGTTGATGTTGTTACTTTTTTATGTGTTTTGTGGCAGTATCTTTCAGATGAATTTATTTTTCATATAAGTTAAATTATGCTGTTCATTTTCACTGTTTCTTAGAGTATCCTTATATGGACACAGATTATTTTGTATTACTCATGTTTGTATGAGATAGATTGTCCTAGACAAGTACCAGGAAAGAGGAGGCATAGTAGCATTCTATGCTTCAAAACTCGTGCCTCTTTTAGTTTTTAAAGTAAGGGACTTGTGCACCTTCCCTGGCTTGGTGACCCTAATGTGGTTGAGGCCAACTTCTATCTCCAACTCTGTTTCCTGTAATTCTTCATAGTACTTGCTTTTTAGGATGATGTATTCAGTATTAGAAGTTGCTAAATCTGAGGATGCCCCACTCCCGTGTACAGCAGGTCCTAGAATAATGTCATTTCTTTCAGTGTCCTTTTGTTATAATGTTGATGAAATGCCATAGGAACTGAACCTCTTGTTTATGTTGATTAGTCAGTGGTAAAATTGGTTTCATGATGCATTGTTTCACTTAAAGTCATAAAACCTATTGATGACTTATTGTACTTTTTAAGCCTGCTCTTTCTGCTTACTCCTGCAGTCCTTTTCTGTTTAGTCTTGTTTTTGCTTTCATCAATTTCCTCTTAAGGTGAGGCCTACTCATTCTGTAAGGGAATATTAGCTGCAGATTTTTGAACTTTGAATAGAATCCTCCTCAGCATTTCCAGTATTTTCTAGGCTTCTTTGCAACTTCCTTTTTAAGCCTCCCTGTTTTGGGCCTGCCTTCGGCAGAGGTGCATGGAATTTGGAAGTTTTTTTGTCCCTAGTTTTGTTGTTCATTATTAGACTCAGTTACAACAGTTCTTACTCAGGGTAAATCCCTCATTCTGAGAATGAATATTTGCTAGTTATTTCTGAGATCTGTAATGTCAAGGACTTCTCACCATTGTCTAGTTTTTCTTGCTACATGTATCACACTATTGTGGTTCATGTACCACCTCTGTTATTTTGGGTGTTTTAGGCCACATTTACATATAATTTAGAGTTAACATGTATTCTCTCTACTAGTTTCATTAAAGAGGTAGGGTTATGGATCGGCCAGTTGGTGTTATTTCCCCGTTATCCATCCTTCCTTCCGTCCGTCCGTCCGTCCGTCCGTCCTTCCTTCCTTCCTTCCTTCCTTCCTTTCCTCCCTCCCTCCCTCCCTCCCTCTTTCCTTCCCTTCCCTTCCCTTCCCTTTCCTTTCCTTTCTTTCTTTTTACTTTGTTCTAATTTCTTTCTGGGAGTCAGGGTTAAGGGCTTGTTTTTCCTAAAGTGTCAAGGCACTTTTCATTTTTGGTTTAACTTTTTCATTAATAATGATGACCATTAGGAGCCCTGGGCTGTATCTATAAATGCGTTAGGTGTCAGGAAAGGAGATTAATTACAACAGCTGACATAAACAATCAATCTTGTAACACAACTATGCTGACAGCCCTTATCTCCCTCCCCGCTCCCACCCCACTAGTAAGCACTAGTCTATAGTCCTCTGGTAACCACTAACCTATAGTCCATGTCCATGAGTCTCTGATCGTTTGTCTGGCTCATTTGTTGCTTTTAGGTTTATATCCCACATAAAAGTGATATCATGTGATTTTCAACTTTTTCTGTCTGGCTTATTTCATTTAGCATGATTATTTCAAGGTCCATCCATGTTGTCACAAATGGCAGTATTTCATCTCTTCTTATGGCTGAGTAATATTCCGTTTTATATACGTACCACAGCTTCTTTATCCAGTCATCTATTGTAGGACACTTCCGTTGCTTCCATGTCCTGGCCATTGTGAATAATGCTGCTATGAACATCGGTATGCAAGTATCTTTTTGGATATGGGTTTTCAGGTCTTTTTCCCGTTATTCTTGATGTTTTCTATGGTTTTCAAAAAGGAGAAGTATTTGAAAGATTTAAAACTAAGCAGCCACAATGCTCCTGTGATCCTTTTTCTTGCCTCCTTGATTATCAGTGTTCCTAGGATTCTGTTTGTCCTTGACCATCTTCTTCACAGATTGTCTATATTCTCTGTAAGCAATCACAGTTACATTCCATCTGTTCCTTGAGCAGCAGGATATTCTGACAACTGACATATACCCATTTTGATTCTAGGCCTATTCTGAGCTCAACTACATATGCAAAAATGGATCTATCTGCTTATGTGTTCCTCAGAAACCTGACACTATCCAGAATATCAAACTTGATCTCCTTCCTCTCACAGATTGTCTTTAGCCAACTCACCCTCTCTTGTTTCTCTCTGTGTACATCACTGTGTACATTAAGCCTTCCATCTCTGCCACACCACAGTACAAATTGGTGACAAAGCTCTTTCAACATAGTATACATAGTGTGTATGTAAATAGTAATTTAAGCTTTTTTATAGAATTTGGCTTTTTAAATATGATTTCAACATTATAGAAAAGTTGGAATAGTACAGAGAAGTCTCATTATACCTTTTACCCAAATTCACCAATCATTTACATTTTGTTTTTCTACAACCACAGTATAGTAGTTAAACTCAGAAAATTGCTATTATTTAATCCGGTCCACATTCAGATGTTGTCATTTGTCCTAATAATGTTCTTAAAAATGTTTTTTTGAGTGAATGGAAGAACATGTATATACAGGACATTTCCAATATGTAGTTTTCCTTAGAGTTTAATTTAAACAAAGTAAATATTAGGATTCCAGGAAAACTTTTTTGAGTTTTTATTCCTGACTGTTAGAACAACTTCCTACACATTTAGCTTAATTCCAATAGGCATGTGTTGTTACAGTTATAGATGAGAGTATTGAATTCATCCAGGAATAAGGGCTACAGTTAAAATCCCCTCAGGAATCTATGCAGGAGTGTGGTGCCAGAGAACAGTAGCAACTAGTCAGGTAAAGTATGAACATCTTTCTTATGTAACTAAAATTCTGAAAGTGAATTCCTCCCCCCCCCCGATTTCAAGATGTGTGGAGGCTTAAATGGTTTGATGAATATTGCTTTGATATTCAGGATTCAAATAGTCTTAGTCTCTCTGCTCATATAATTGTACTTTAATTTTTAAGGCAAAAGGTCATTACTTTGTTCTTTTTCATAGGGCCGCTTCCTTGTGCACCCCTGGAAACTGCACCTTCCTCATCCTTCAGAAGGTCCTGAGGCCCCAGGGCTCAGCCTGAGTTTTCGGAGGGTACTTTGGCCCCAGCATTAACATTCTAGTGCTGTGTCATTTCCCCAGTAACAGGTTGTAGACTGACTAAACTGTATGTGATCCTCTGTTGGAGCAAGAAGACAAACTGGATGGTGGAGAAGGAAGTGGAGAAGAAATTGTCCAGGTGAGTGAATGATAACCAGACAAGTTACAGTTGTTCAGTCAGTATTGATACCTCTGAAAGGTTTTTAAGGATGTTTTCTTGTAGGCTGTATTCTTGGAATATCACTTGGTATGAATTCTTAAGATATTTGAGTGACATTTCTAGTCATCATTTTTTTGGTTTCAGTACCCTGCTTCTTTAATTAGGTTGTAGAGGACCAGGTGCCCCTCTTATCTCTAATCTGGATGTCCACATTCGTATTTCTTTGTACTGTCTGTGTGATCGTTCTCTCTTTCATTGTTACCCTCAGTCTCATATCCCGCGATGTGTATAGACTCTTTCCTTATGTATTGTCTTTTACTGGTTTTAAGTCTTTACATATTGTCTGACAGGTTTCTTTTTATTATTTTGCGCTTTCTCATTCTTTCAGTGGTTAAATGCCTCAGAATTATATTTTACATCTATGATGATACTTCCTGTTGTCTTCTTATTCACCTCCCCCATTATACATCAATAAACTCTGCTTCCCTCTCTTCCTCCTCTGTATACCTCTTTCAGTTGTTGCCTTAGAAATCAGTTCTGCCTTTCTGTTATGTGGGCATGTGTGTATGTGAGTGTGAGAGAAAGAGAGAGAATGTATGTATCTGTATTTTTTTAATATAATACTTGAACTTGTAAAAAATTTTGAACAATAAAGAATGAAAAAGCCTTTTCTTACCTCTAAGCCTCAGTCCTACACTTTTTCAAAATGCAGTTACTTTTATGAGTCACATCTGTCCTCCTCAAGGCAATCTGTGAATGAGCCAGCATATGTTATATATTTGCTGCAAATATGAATATATAAAAGTCTTCTGTTTTCCTTTTCATATAAATAATGGTTGTATGTATTCTATTGTGTATGTAGTTTTTTTTTCTTGGAGAGATTATCTATATAATTTATTTAACCTGTTTCCTATTAATAGCCATTTAGGTTGTTTCCAGGCTTATGCTATTGAGGACACAAGTGCATTTACTTGTTTATATTGCTTTGCAGAAATATGCAGATACAACTAGGTAATAATTTACTCTTTAGTGGAAATACTGGGTCAAAGTTATGTTTATAGATTTGATAGAAATAAGCACATTGTTCTCAAAAGAAGTAAACCAATTTACATTTCTACCAATGTGGTATATTCATATATTCAACAAGTACTTAGTGAATGATATGTATTAGGCACTATTTCAGATACTAGAGAAATGTCAGTGATCAGAGCAGTCAAAAATTCCTCCCTCCTGAGTCCTGTATTCCAGTTTGGGAAGACAACTTTGAATAAATAAGTAAAAAATATATTCTATAAGATGGTAGTGAATTAAGGAGAAAAATAAAGGAGAAATGGCATTTGGAGGGCCAGTTGGTCAGGGAAAGGTCAGTAAGAGGGTGACATTTGTAAAAAGATCTAGAGTGTGAGAGCAGGGCATTTGGTATTTAGTGGAAGAGTATTCAGCCAGAAGAAACAAAAAGTGTTAAAAACTCTAAGGTTGAGCTTGCTGGTCTAGAAATAGTGCTCAGGGCAGTGGGCTGGAGCAGGGTGAGTGAGCAAAAGGGAGTAAGAGTATGTTTGGTTAGATAACAGGCCAAATCATAGACTTAGGCCTTTGATCTCAGTGATTTGGGAGACCATCAAAGAGTTTTGAGCAGAAGAGTGATAAGATCAGAATTACATTTCTGCTGCAGTATAGAAAATAAGGTATGGGCTGGGGGCAAGACTAGGAGATTAGTTGGAGGCTATTGCAGTAATCTAGATAAGAAAATAGTAGTTAAGCTAGAGACCAGTCAGATTCTTAAGGATTGGGTGATAGATTGATTATATATATGTCGGTTATGAGAGAAGAGTCCTTGATGATTCCAAGGTTTTAACTAAAATAGACTGAGTTATTTACTGAGAGAGGAATACTTTAGGAAGTTTGGAGATAGAACAAGAGTTTTCTTTTGGAATTGTTAATTGAGACATGTCTACTGATCACCTAAGTCAGATAGGCAGTTGGATATACAAGTCAGGAATTTAGGGAAATGGAAAGTTGTGACCATTTCTGCTTTGCTATACCTTCAAGCTGTTTTATAAAATGATGGTGTTTCTACATTTCCCTGCCTACCATTTTTTTTCCTACCTGTACTTTTCCTACTCTTCAGGGATGCCAGTGGGCCCACCATACCTCCTGTATTCAACCAACATACTTGGATTCTGTTGTTACAAACAGAGAGATGGTGATTTGACCCTTGAGGCTGGGCCTTATGTTTTTGGAGAGCATTGTGCATGAGAGCTCTTTTAAAAATAGCAGTGACACTGCCTACTCACATCCTTTTTCATAAGACGTTAGAATTATAGCTAATTCCTACTCTTACCAACAGTTTAGTTTTTTTTTTTCTTTTTTTTTTTTTGGTTCCTCTTTTTTCCTTCAAAGACATGAAAAGTGGACAGAAATGTCTTTATTAAACTATTTTAGAAGGAAGTATCTATTTATGTTTGTCACCCCTCTAAGAATTCTCTCCTACTTCTGCTTTATTGATGCTTTAATGACCTGAGGTGTTGCTTTTTCTTTCTAAGTGTTTCCTCATCTTTTGCTTTTATTTCTTTTTTCTTCTATCCTCTTACTGGAGGTGGCTCCTAGAACACTATATTCTGCCTTTCCTCCTTCCTTTTATAAATTAATTCCTAGAAAAGACCCATTCATTCTGAAATAATAAGTAACTCTTTATAATATTTTCAGTTTGGCAGCTCCAGCCTTTTCATCTTGCTCGCCATCATTTTATCTCTTTACAGGATAAACAGCTGTCTGACTGACTTCATTCTCATTTTGTCAGACAATGAAATCATTAATATCCTATCCATATTAGAAATTTCAGCTCATTATTTTCAGGTCCAGAGATCACTTCAAAACAATTTTAGATTATGTTGATTATTTCTTTTCTCATGTGATATGGTTACTCAAGCCTTTAAAGAGATAAACTTCAAACTAACCAAGAAATGCCCTATCTATTCAGGTGCTACTGAACATTTAAACCTGTTACTTCTTTTATTGATTTCTCATCTGATTGTTCATGCTACTTAACATTTTCCATAGAAGTTCAGAAGACTCTAGTTAATACTTATATTTTTATATTTTGATATGTTGAGTCTATATTATGAACCTGTTGAAAGGAAGGCCCTACTGTCTCCAGTTTTGATTACATATGAGGTACTTTTTAAATAATGTATGAATTGTTGTGGAAGGATTTGTTAATTTTTCAATTTTTTTATATTATGAATATTTTCAAAGATTAACATTGAAGAGTACAGTGATCTTTTATATGCCCATCACATAGAGTCAATAATTAATATTTTACCACATTTGTTTTTTTATGTGTCTGTATCCTTATGCATGCGTATTATGTGTGCTGCAACACCATGACACTTCACTCCTAAAAAATTAAGTATGCATTTTCTAAAAATAATGGCATAACCAAAATACTATTAGCGTACCTTAAACAGTTAGCCATAATGTCCTAAATTATGTAATATTCAGTCACTATTTCCCAAATTATTTCCCAATACCTTCTGTAACATTTTTTTAAAATGCCAGAATGCAGTCGAAGTTTAAACTTTGGATTTGGTTGTCTTTTTTGTTTTTGTAGTCTAACCTTTCTTTCCCTCCTTCCTCCCTGCCTTGATATTGCCCCTCATATTTAAAAAATATTTATTCTCAGCCATTCAAGGAAAAGAATAGAGCCATTAATGCAGTCCAGCATCCCAAGCTATAGTTAAGATGTTAAGACTTAGCTACATACAAATTTGGGTTTACAAGTATATGAAACACTTATTTTAGAAAAGTGAATCTGATTGTGATTAGGAGTTCAGGCAATGATGTTTATAAGTAAAAGACAAGATTGGAGAAGTTTTTTTAGGAGCATGTTACTGGACCTGCTTCTAGGAAATTTTATAGATTCTAAAGTTAAAATATAGAAGAGATCCGGCTAAGTCAAAGAAAGACATGAATGTGATGTACATAAAATGTGACTCCTTGGTTGCACATTTAACATGCTTGGCAAGCTCTTCCTCAGGGTTTGTGAACTTGTTTAATTTCTGCTTAGAATACTCTTTCTCCAGATAATCTGTAAGGATCACTCTCTTCCTTCATGTCTTGAATCTTGCCTTCTCAGAGGGCTCTCTATCTAAAATTGAAACTCCTTACCCCTTTCGTAATTTTTTCCCTTAGTAGTTTTAACTTTTTAACAACTCATCTCATTTATTTATTTGTTCTCTGTCCACTAGAATGTAAACTTGTTGAAGGCAGAGAATTCTGTCAATTTTGTCCAATGCTGTTTATCCGTAGAGCTTAGAACTGTGCCAGGCACATATTAAGTAGAAGAAAAGGTATTTGTTGAATGAATAATGGTAAGTGTTTTGAGTAGCACTTCTCAAACTTTTTGGTCTCTTTACATTCTTTTTTTTTTTTTTTTTTTTAAATAACAGCTTTGAGATATGAATCACACAACATAAAATTCATCTTTTTAAGATGTACAATTCAGTGATTTTTAGTATATTCACGAAGTTGTGCAGCCATCACCGCTATTTCAGAACATTTTCATCACCACTAAAGGAAACTCCGATACCCATTAGCAGTAATCTTTATATTCTTAAAACTTGAGGACCCCCAAAGAGCTTTGGTATATGTGGACTTTAGTGATAATTTACCTTATTTAGAAGTAAAATTGAGAAACTTTAAAAAATATACATTAATTTGTTTAACACAAATAATAATCCCATTACATGTAAACTTAAATCACTTTTATTTCTTAATAAAAATAAGTTTTCCAAAATAAAAGAAGTTAGAAGACTGGCATTGTTTTGCACATGTGTAAATATCTTTATTCTGGTTTAATAGAAGACAGTTGGATTCTCATTTCTGTTGTTGTAACCTGTTTTGGTTGAAATATATTAAAAAATTGTGGCTTCATACAGATGTAGTTAGAAGAAGTATTTTAATACCTTTTTCAGGTAATTGTGGATATTCTTTGGTACTCCACCAACACTTGACAGTGGTAATTTTTTCAAGCTTAGCCTCAATGCGGAATTTGAAACTATTTCAGATACTTTCATTCTTTTACTTAAAATCCATGTCTTAAACTTTTTGTTTGTCTGACACTTTGAATGGATCTCTTAACCATTCAGGATTTTGTAACATCATGCATTGGTCATTTGAGTTATGCAGATCTTTAAAATGTTGACATATCTCATTATATAATATCAAAACATCAGATTTTGTTAACAGCACTACCAATCTCATTAGAAAGGTCTTTTAAGAGTTTAGAAACTATCAATCTCATGGAGGATACTGATTTTCCAGAATTTTAATTTTTGCTTGAAAACTCAAATTTTATCATTGACAGTGTGTGCTGTCAGTTTTTCTTTTAAAGAATTGTCTTCATTTTGTCTGAAGAAAGTACCAAGCAATACCCAAGTCTGAATAATCATTTTGTAAGGTGGTCATTTATTATTTAAAGCAAATTAATCGTGCCCATGAAAAAAGTGGCTAGTGTAACTCACAACTTAAATGATTTGCCCAAGTGTTTTTCCTTGAGACACCTATCATTCATTGGTGAACAAGAGAAATATATGTGTATGTGTATACTACTATATATATATTTATTATTCATTGTGCAAGGTATCAAGTGGGCCCTTTAAAGAGTCTAGAGATTCATGATGTAGATGAGTTTTTTATTCTTTGACTATTTCTTCTGATCAGTTTTCTCCTTTTGTTTTTTGGAACTTTTTTTTTTTTTACTTAGTTGTTAAACATATTACTTTGGTTTAGCCTCTGAATTTGTCATCTGAAAGCTTCTACCAGGAAGTGGTACTTATTACTCGTGCTTATATTTCATTGACCAAACAAGAGCCATTCCTGTTTCTTAGGGTAAAACAATATATTGTCTTTCTGCAATAAAGAGGCTGTTATCTACCTCACCTTCTCTACCCCTTCCCCACCCCCAGTCTTAATTTCTCAGGGAACTTTTTCTTTCTGTTTCTTGCTTTAAAAATCCTGTTATCGTTTCTCTGATAAAACATTTTCTCATAATCATTTGTGATTAGTTTCAGAGTTCTGTTTTTGTTTGCTTTTCTTTGCCTGTTTTTCCTTAGAGTTTCTTTTTTCTCTTGATATTGTGCTTTCATGTTAGTGGGGTTCCTCAAATGTGTGTGGAGTATTGGCTGCACAGTCATATTTAAGAATGATATGCTTGGGTGCTCCTAGTCTTCTGGTAGGCTTCAGTGCATAAAAAGTAAACGGCCTCATGGACCAAGGGTCTCCTCCTTGCAGAAGAGTTATACTGCCTTACTCTTAGAAACTTAGGTTTGGCCAGAGCCTTTGTTTTGGCAAAAGAAATGCATACAAGCAACAAGTATTATCTTGGAGAGGCATCCTAATGTGGTTTATCATGGGCCTTTTAGATTTTCCAGAGAAGGATGCTTTCATATCCTATTATCAGGTTTGTATACCTGGTTGCCAGCTTTTTTTTTTTTTTTTTTTGCCTCAGCTGTAGAATAGTGCCAAAGTTCTCACTATATTTTATATAGATTTAATCACATTGATTTCGGTATAGCACCTCTCCCCTGTCAACTCATTTGTTGGGTCCCCTGAGTCTGGAGCTTCTCTGATTAAATTTCTGCAAAGAATAGCGTCCATTTCATATAAGGGAGTGGTCCTTTGTCTTGGCAAGGAAAGTAGAGGTCTAACTGCACCTTATGTAATCTTTTTTCAACTCCTGTCCTTTATTTTTGTTTTAAGGCACTTGATTTCCTCCATCTTCTGAATCTTTTTGATATTTTGTGGCACAAATTGCCTTGCTTGACCTTGGCATCCTCTTCTGCAGTACTTCCGTTATTTGAACTTCCCCAGTTCTGTGTTGAAAATCTTCCTGTGCTTTACGTTATAAAAATAAAAAAAAAAAAAAATTAATATCTGTGTATCCCGATGTCTCCTATAATATCCCTTTCGTGAGTTTTGTGTTTTCCCTTTTGTCATTTAGTGGAGTTTTGGGAGGAAGCAGTTGTTGATTATCCCTTTCCCTTTCTTAGGCATCACAGGTTAGACTTTCAATTTTATGTGGTCATCTTTTTATCCTACTTATTAACTTCTCATTGTTACACTCAGTTGCTGAATTGTGAAATGAGAAAGAATAATCTAAGCTTTGTGTACCCTTGAATGTTAATTTTCTACCCAGATACCCTCCACAACAGTTTCCTTGTCAAAATTTAGTTGGAGACATTGGTTGTGAGGCGGCTTTTATATTGTGAAATGGGCTAGCAGAGTTAATCCCAACAATCAGAGTCTGAAATTTTTTTGCTAGTAATGGGAAATTCATAAATAATGATGATAACATAAAGCTAACATTTATTAAATGCTTATTTACCATTTGCCAGCCACAGTTCTAAACACTTTATACTTTAACTCCTCTAAATGATGATTGTTTGTACTCCATTTTAGAAGAAGCCTGAGAAGATGATGAGCAGATAAGAGAGGCAGGAAGACTTGGGAGGCAAGTTGTATCCACCTCCAGTAAAGTAAAGACTGAAGAAAAAAGGTGTGAATAGAAGAAAATTGGAAAAATACTTTTCTCTGATCTCAGACTTTGTATCTTTTAAGGCAATATCTTTTTCACCTTACCTAGAAAGAATTTGAAACAGTTTAGACTTACTTAATCATGAGGGACATTGTGTAGGAAAGAATCATCAATGTTTTTAGTTTGAAAATCCTATCACAGCTTACCTTTTATGGTAATAACTTTTAAGTGTAAATCAGTGTGGAAATGCCTTCAGTTAAAAAAAGTTGAATCCCATCTGATAACAGCATTTGTACTGGATTAGAAACTCTATGAATTTACTGAATGTGGAAAAACTTTCATTCACGTGTCACTCTTCAGTAGATGTAGAAATCAGGCTGGAGAGAAACCCTGTGCTTCTGAGGAAAATTGAAAAGCCTTTAGCTAGATGACAAATCTTACTGAGCAGAAGAAAATTTATACTGGGTAGAAACCAGTGAATGTAACAAAACTTGAGTATTAGAAAATTTACACTTAGAGAAACCTTTGAACTGAGTATGATAAAGTTTTCTCTCGAACCTTATCCCTTACTTTACCTTCGAAAGGTCACTCACAGGTTCTTCAGATGTAAGAAATGTGGAAATACCTTCAGCCAAAAGTAAATCCTCATTCATTAAAAAATTCATACCGGAGAAAAATCTTGTGAATGTGGGAAAGCTTCCATTCAGATGTCACACCTCAGTCAGCAGAAAATTTGTAGCGGGGAAAACCCCTTTGCCTGCAAGGTATGTGGGAAAGTCTTCAGCCACAAATCAAATCTCACTGAGCATGAGCATTTTCATAATAGAGAGAAACCTTTTGAATGTAATGAATGTGGAAAAGCCTTCAGCCAAAAGCAGTATGTCATTAAACATCAGAACACCCATACTGGAGAGAAGCTTTTTGAATGTAATGAATGTGGAAAATCCTTCAGCCAGAAGGAGAACCTCCTTACGCATCAGAAAATTCACACTGGAGAGAAACCTTTTGAGTGTAAAGATTGTGGGAAAGCTTTCATTCAGAAGTCAAACCTCATCAGACACCAGAGAACTCATACAGGAGAGAAGCCCTTTGTATGTAAGGAGTGTGGGAAAACCTTCAGTGGCAAATCAAACCTTACTGAGCATGAGAAAATTCATATTGGAGAGAAACCCTTTAAATGTAATGAATGTGGAACAGCTTTTGGCCAGAAGAAGTACCTCATAAAACATCAAAACATTCACACTGGAGAGAAACCCTATGAATGTAATGAATGTGGAAAAGCCTTCTCTCAACGAACGTCACTTATTGTACATGTGAGAATTCATTCAGGTGATAAGCCTTATGAATGCAATGTATGTGGGAAAGCTTTCTCTCAGAGTTCATCTCTTACTGTGCATGCGAGAAGCCATACAGGTGAGAAGCCCTATGGATGTAATGAATGTGGGAAAGCTTTCTCTCAATTCTCAACCCTTGCTTTACATTTGAGAATACACACAGGTAAGAAGCCGTATCAATGTAGTGAATGTGGGAAAGCTTTCAGCCAGAAGTCACATCACATTAGACACCAGAAAATTCATACTCATTAAAAACTCTGTGAATATCTTGAAAATTGAAAAGCATTCATGAGGAATTTACACCTCATAAGACAGAAATAATTCTGAAGCAAAGTCACAAATGACACAAAAGTTAAAAACTTATTGGACACCAGAGAAATTATACTGAAGAGAAAAAAAGACATTGTATTATAAAAATCCTGTGCCCAACAAAAAACCTACAGCAAAGGTAATGCCGAAACTCTTAGACACATTTCCACTAAATTGGGAATGGGAAACATGTTTGCTATCATTGCTGTCTGCATAGATCTGGAGATTGTCACCAATATAATAAGAAAAATAAGTTTTAAGTATTGTAAAGGAAAAGACTTTTGTGGTATTAATTTAGAACAAAAGAGATTCTGGAAGCATCTATGCATTTATTAGAATTTAGGATAGAAATGTCATCAGGAGGTGAGAAGAAAATGGGACTATTTTAAAAATGATTTGGAGCTAATTTGTCCTCCAAGGAAAAAAAAGAGACCATGAACTATATACAAAGGTAAGATCCATGGGGATTAAAAACAGGGATATGAAAAAGATATATACTAAAAATGGTTATGACCTTGGGAGTAAGGAAACATTCCTTATAATGAATTGAAAAATAGCAATTTTACTCTGAGTTTGTATGCTCAGGAAATATGTACCGGGCTATTTACTGTGGCATGATTTGTAGTAGCCATAAATTGGAAACAACTTAAATGCCCATCATGAATATAATGGGAAATGTTTATGATGGGATATTGTATATCTGTAAAATGTAACAAATGAGGTCTGCATGTATTACAGAGAAAGATCTCAAAAATGTTAAGAGGGAAGAAATGAAGTTGTAGTATGACCCATCTAATACCATGACATTTTTGTAAATTTGAATTAAACTTGCCTCACAAAATGCAGTACTATATATCAGTAATGGATACATATATGTGTGTATGTTTTTAAAATGATTTTGAAATGGAAGGATACAGACCAAATTCTTGATAGAGGTTGCCTGTGAAGAATGGAGAAGGGAAGGGATGAGTGTGGGAGGGGTGGACTGGGGATTGGATAAAGGGGATTTCATTTTTATATGTAAACATCCATTTCTCTTAAACACAAAAGAGACTAAGTAAATATATATATCAAAATATTGGATAGTTCTGGATTGTGGTATATGGATATCTTGTCTTATTTTTTGTACTTTTCTGTATTTTTAAATTTTCTCTAAGAATGGGGGTGAGGATGGGAATGCTGTACCTATAGAAATGTTGCTCAAATGGATTCATTCCCAATGAAATACTAAACTTTTTATAGAAAATATTTCTAAAATTTTATCAATGAGTGGATGGACTTGTTCTCTATGTAGTATGAAATTATCTATTTTATTAAAATTAAAAGTGACAGTATAATCCAAATGTGTTTATTTTTATGTGATATAGTGTACACTATATGGTCTGTCTTTACATTTCTTACATAATTTTGCAACATCTGAGTTTAGAAAATTTTAAGAACTTTTAGCTAAGGATACATGCACAGACTTCATAAAATTGGTCTTTTTAGGTAAGTTTTCTGGAATGTCAAATTTCCTATCATGTAAATATCCATGGGAACAGCATATGCAGTAAAAATTAAGTTTTTGATCATTTCATTTTAAAAAAGAAAACCATTTAACTTCCCAGTATTTCTACAATTAGAGTTAAATGGTAACTCCCGACTCTCAGTTTTAACCTGTGGACTATTTCATTCCCTTCGGTGCTTTGACAACCACCTTTTTGGTCCCCCCAGCTTTGTTGAGGTGTAATTAACAAATAAAATTTGTAAGATATTTAAAATGTACAATGTGATGATTTGATACGCATTGTGAAGGGATTTCCCCCATCAAGTTATTGTTTATTTCTTTTACAGAGGTGGAGAGGATGGGATGGTATGAGAAAAGTAGGCCAGACTGAACAGAATTCTGTTGTGTAAACCAGCCCTTCCTGAAGATGTTTTTTATTTAATTCCTCTTTTCAGTGTAACTTGGTATAAATGATGTTATTAAAGGTTTTCTTCAATAATGGTGAACATTAGCAATAATAGCATTTTGAGATTTTAAAAGCTGCTTTTAAAAAAGGTCTTGGGGGTGGCTCTATAGTGTAGTGGTTAGCACATCTACTTTACACACAGAAGGTCCTGGGTTCACATCCCAGGTGGAGCCACAGACCATACCCCAGGTGCACCAGGCCCTGGGTGCACACTACATGTGTGTGGGAGGAGATGCCCCGCCTTCAGAGATCCAGTTCTTAAGAGGAAACAGCAACATCCATAGGTCAGGGGTGGAAGTGGGGAGAGAGGAATTAAAGGTGGGGGGGGAGTAAAAGGTGTTAAATGCATTAAATGCCACAGCATTTACTGTGTATCTTTTATTTGCCTTTTTGGAGAAATGACCATGAATTATGTACTTATCTAAATGAAACAGTCCTTTCTAATACAGAGTTCTCCCACTACCTTTTTACAAAGAGCGTTACATACTAAATCTACTAAAGAACTGTACCAGATATTTGTGCACTATTTAAAAATTGCCTCCATTTATTATTATTTAGAAAGATTTTAGTCAAAAGATATTTTCTTAAACTACTTTTTTCTCCTTAGTCTCTATGGTTTACTTAGCTCTTACTCTACTCCTGTGTTTGTACAGCTTTGGCATCAACAGAATAAATCAGGCATTACCCAAAGAAAAAACCATAGCCTAGGACCTTCCTCTCCCAGCCAGCAAGACTGATAGTGTTGGCCGATAGAGGGAAGTTGAATCTGAAATTCAGAATCATTTTACTCAGCATGTCAGGAGGCAGGTGATCTGAATCCCCTAAATACATATCTTATTCCATCATAATTGGTAGATCGTAGATGTAAGTGACTTCAGTGTTGGACACCTGAATTGTCAAGATTTATAAGATCAATCTTGGTTAATCCTACATTGCCTGGATTCATAGTACTAGCTATTTCATACAATATCCAAAGCATGTGAGGGACTATAAAAGCCTTTTTTGTTTTTACCCCAAGTCCAGCAAAATCTCTATGAAGTGTTCTAATGCAGGTCATAGCCTGGATACCTCTATTAATAATTTAAGGTATTACGTAGTTGTATCTGTTTTGTAAGCAGAACTATCGCTGCTTTCCTTGATTACATGTATTTCACATTTATGGTATTTTGTGTTTAAAATAGTATGAAGCAACACAGGCTTTTTTTTTTTTTTTTTTTTGGAAAAACCTGGCTTTGTAATTTAACTACCACTGGTGAATAACTTCGTCATACAAGGTAGTAACCTGGCATTTACTTAGATTTTTCTTTTCTTCTTCAGGATTTTATTGTCCAAGTAAGTGCTTCTTAAACTTCAGTGTTCATTACAATCACCTGGAGTGAGGAGTGGGGTTGTTTCTGAGCCCTAATTCCAGAGTTCCTGATTCAGTAAATCAAGGGTGGGGGCTGAGGATTTATATTTCTAACAGGCTGTCAGGTGATGCTGATGCTGCTGTGCCACGCTTTGAGAACTGATGCTCTAAACTATTTTCAGAACAGCTCCATTAAGTAGTAGACAGTATGCATATTATTTCTTCATTTTATGACAAGCTTAGTGTTTTACATCTCTTTAGTGGGAGAGCTAAAACTGAAGCAAGTCATGGCTTCTTACAACTATTTCATAAGAAGTTTAATAGATGGGAGGGAAAGCTCTTTCAAACTTCCTTTGCAAATAGTTGCCTACTACCTGTTATGTGCCAGATATTATATAATTAATATCAAAGCAAAATATTCCTGTCCTCTTGAAATCACTAGTTCTCTTGCATGTAGTGGGGGGAAGAGTTAAATTTTGTTTTGAGAAAAACATGAAAAAATAATGCACTAAAAGGAAAGTGAAAAGTGTGGGATGTGATTGAAGATTAAGGTATGGAAGGGTCATAGTGTGGAATTCTTCAATATTAAATGCAATGAGAATCTGCCAAAGGATGCTTGAGTATGGCAGAGATATGATTGACATTCTGAAAAGATCACTTGATGCTTTGTGATAAGTAGATTGATAGGAGAACAAGAGCAGAGGCCAAGTGACCATTTTAGAGGCTGAGTAATCATTGAAGCAAGGTAATAAAGGTTAGAACAGAGGTGCTATATTGGCAATGGGTGGAAATGGATAATCAGATTTCTTGATTTGAGCTGACAGGATTTCTGAGGTCCATGTTGAAAGAAAGGAAGGAGGCATCAAGTACTATGCCAGCTTTTTAAACTTTGACAACTGGCTAATTAAAATGGGGCTATGGAGAAGCAGTTTGGAAGCAAGTAGAATGAATTAGTTTAGAGCACATTAGATTTGCAAAGCTTATTTGACAGTGAAATCGGGACAACTCAATAACTTTGGAATCATCAGCCTTTAGGTAGTGTTAAAGAGAGGTGATAGGGTAAGATCACTTAGGGAAAGTAAACAGAAAACAAACCTTTGTTTGAGCCTTGGCACTCCAACTAAGTCATGTAGAGGGGAAAATGTAGCCGATCTCCTGTGCTAACAAAGTGGAGGCTATCTAGAATGTGTTGTCTTAGTAGCCAAGACAGTAAAGTGTATGAAAATAGAAACATTCTGTTGATTGCTAATATAAAATGGAATAAAATGAGCACGGTATTCTTTAGATGAGGCAATACATAGGCCAATGTAGACAAATGCCTTTTTGGTGGACTGCTGGGGTCATAAGTCAGATTAGGGCAGCATAAAGTAATTGGTAGGAGCACAGTTCTGCTATCAGCTTGCCTGGTTTTCGAATCTGGTCTTGCCACTATTTTTGAGGCTTTCTTCAAGTTTTGTAACATTTATGCTTTAGTTGCCTTATCTCCAGTGCATCTTCTCATAGAGTTGGGTGCATTAAATAATTTGCATTAAAAAAGTCTTAGAACAGTAATCTCAGCATATCATAAATGCTCAGTAAATGTTTATTAGACTGAGTTAAAAAGTGAACATAGATAGGAAGAGGTTACAGCAAGTGTAGACGACCCTTGAAACGTTTTGCTGGAAGCCCAGAGGTGAGTCAGCTTGAAGCAGATGTGAGATTAAGGAAAGGATTTTTGGTACTTTGTTTTTGGTTTGTTATTAAAGATGGAATCTATAGAATATATTTGTAAACTGATGGTAATGACCCAATAAGATAACTTCAGGAAAAAAGTATTTGAGAATCCAAGAAAAGATGAGCTGTTGCATAGATGACCCAGTTAGTGGTTGATAGGAACTGGGTTACTTCCTTTACGAACAGATGGGAAGAGAGAATACAGGTGACAGTGCAAGCAGATATGAGAATTTGGTGGTGGAAAGAATAAAAAGAGTTCCCATTTGGTTAAATCTATTTTGTCAATGAAGTATCAGATGGAAGTTTTTTGGTTAGAAGGAGGAGGAAAGAATGTGTAAAATTTGAGAAGATAAAAGGAAGTATATTTAAGAGTTGAAGCATGCTCATAGGTTCCTAATAAAATATTTAAGGTTTTCAAATTTTTCAGTAAAAATTCCTTTTTTCTCATCAGACAAAACCCATTTCAGACATCCCTAAGATGTGTCCAATTTGAACTGCATGCCCTGGGGGGTTTGTGTAGTTGACTTAGAACATACTAATGGTGGCTTTTTTCCACTGATTATTTCTCTACCCTAAGATAAATATCAGACTTGAGAGACTTTTATTGAGATATCACATGAAAGGGAATTTTGAGAGTATGTTATTGAAAGTTTTATATGATGAGATCATCCTACAGGAATGAAGATAAAATGCAGATGGGTTGGAGGAGTAAACTTCAGGGAAAGTCTGTTAGCTGGGTAGAATTAATTAGCATATGCAGCCAGAGAATTCTTGGCAATGCTACATCAGGAATCTTGTAAAAAAAATAGATTGTCATATAAAACAAAATACTGGTGACCAGACTAAAATATATCAAGGCTTAAATATTTATGCAAAATAACTTTTAATATAAATATTTTTGTTAAAGGAATAGTGACTATAAAATAATGTCTATTTTGTGCAGTTTAAAGAACTTAAGTTTTGAGAAGCAAATTTGTGAGTTACTGGGTTAAAACATTCTAAGGTTCCGCTATTTTAGGAAGATGGCAGACATAATGACAAGTATATAGTACATATTAAAGTAACCAGGATACCCACTAATAAGGAGAGGAAGAGAGGGAGGAGTGGCAGGGAGAGAACTGAAACAGAAGGAAGTAATGGAATGAGGAAAAAAACAGTAAAGTAAGGAGGAAACAAAAAGAACAGATAAGTGGAAACATAATAGAAATCTACATCATTAATTCCCGTAAATGGACTCAACTTTTCAGTTAAAATCAAAGATTGTGAAGTGATTTTTTTTTTTTAAGTAGCTATAAGTTATTTATAAAGATACGTAAGTGAAAAGATACAG